GGATGGACAGAGTCACTCTTCGCCTAAGTCTACGTACAGAGATGGGGTGACGAGCTCCGATCACCATGGGCTAGGGGGCAGTTATCTGAAAACTGAAGGCAATGCTGCATCATTGGATGCGAGAGAGGAGGCGGTCACTCTTAAAGAAGCATGTGGTACCTCAACTACTGCGGACTCGCCTCCAGGGTGCTCACCCTTGGGGCCAACTCTAGCCGCATCTACAGTTGAAGGAGAGGATGTTCGACAGCGAATGGTCCCCATGAGCAGTATGCCATCCAGTAATCCGACGGAAGAGCTAACTTTGCCTGGTCCTCCGTTATTAGCATCTGCTAGCTGTGTGGGAGATGATCTGGCACTCGATGCAGTGGCTGCTGCTGCTGCGACGGTCGCGGTTGAGGCAATGAGCAAATTGCAAGAACCACAAGAAAGCCGCACAGCAGAACTGCTGGAGAATAGTGCTCGGGTGGCTTCCAGCGTTTGGAAGAGTGCGAGAATGACAGCTACTACTGCGGCCGCAGTTACTGCGTCGAGGGTCGCGACGACAGACTTTTCAGCGCTTAGCGAAGCCACCGCGAAGCCTCTGCGGGCTGCTGCAGAATATGTAGGCTTGAGCTCTTATCTGGGCTCATGTACTGCAGTAGAGAAAGACAAAAGAGACGGCAAACATTCAGAGGGAGGTGCTACATTGGCAGTTGAGGGCGCTCCTGAACATGCAGGCAGCGCTGACGGGAGCACGTTCAGCGGTAACGTTCCTGCCCCAGTGGGTAAGGAGGGTGTAGCGAGCTATAGCTGGTCGTTGGGAAGTTTTCGCCTTCCCGCGTTGCCGCTGTGCTTTTGTGCCCCGAATGCCGGACGCGACAAGCCCTTGAGCTGCACTGTGGCGGTAGCCGTAGCCGATGCAGAGACGGAACTAGAGGGCAGCGACGCAGAGGCTGCAGCAGCAGAATACATGACCGCAAGTGCTTCTGCCTGTATTCGCAACGTGAATGCTGGTGCTTCTACAGAGGAGCAGGGCCGTCCCCAAACCGAGACCCCTTTTGAGGCTGGCGATTCCTCAGACACTCCGGGGACGCCTAAGGTAGTGGAATCTGTTGAGGAACATTCTCTTCATGTTGCCGGGGGTTTCGTGGCAGGACGGAATAAAAAGGGTCACAGCGGGGACCGCGAAGAGGTTCGCAATTGCGGAGGCCACGACGACAGAGTTGGTGCTACAAATGGGTCGCTGCATGAGATGCGAGATAATGAAAGCCAAGAAGTGGGTCCCCAACACAGTGACCTGAAGACATACATGAAACGAATTCTGGGAGCTCTAGACTGCGCACTTGAGAAACAGTAGGGCGAACTCACCTAGCGTCGGGAGGCTGCAGTTGCTGTGGTTGTCTGTGAATATGGACTGCTGCAGGTGCATGTCAAAGATGTGAACGAGAAACCACCAGAGGTAGCAACAAGGACAGTACCGGACAAACTGCAACGAGAGGCACAGCACCAGAAACAGACAGTATGGGCTTCTTTGCGCTCGACTTTGGCAGACTCATCTCGCCGCTCGGTGGAGGTTGCTCAGCAAGTAGCAGGCACGGCTGCCTCCGCTGCCAGCGTGGCAAATAAGGCCCTTGATGCCCTTGTGCTTCCTCTTTTTGGTGCATGCATGACACCGCAAGCACGTGCTGATGGTGGCAGTTCAGGTTTGGCGGAGTCATCTCCTGAGCAAGCTAGAAGTAGAGTGGATCCTTCCGTCAATCAGCCGCAGGTTCAATCAGGAGGTGACCGGGCACAGTCAGATCAGCCGAGTCCTGGAGAGTCAGGACCATCATCTTCTGGGCTGCTGAGCGAGCTTCAGAGGCGGCAGCAGGCCCTTGCAGAGGCAGTGCGTGACCGAAGCATAAACTTTGTTCAGCATTCGGTGGCGTTGACAGCTTCTTCGAATTTATCTGAGGCACGCTATCACTTGGCGGAGATCGTTGACACAGGTGGTCCTGAGGTACGTACCCTGCATGCGAAACGCAGGAGCTCTCAACATTTGAGGTAGTTAGAGCTCCCACAGATACACTGTCGCAGAGGCATGGCGCACTCCTAAGAACACTCGAGTACCAAGAGAATACTAGAGTGCAGCAAAATGGTGCGCTCTTAAATTGCTTTTTCTCAGGTCAGCGGAGTGTGGGCAGGCGTCAAGGTAGGGCTCGGGATCGCGACGTTGGCTTCAGGGCATTTGATTTTGGGGGGTGCGATGGTAGCTGTGGCAACGAGCTCGCTGGGTAGCGCTCTTCTGTGGGGCCGACATCGTCAAGAAGTGTATGAGATAATGCGCGGCGACTACCCAGAGGGTGGTGAGCGGTACCAGTCGTCTGAAGCATCGTACAATGAGGAAGGAGCTGAGGCCGAATCGGGAACGCTTACCAGCGCAAAGAGCAGCGCCACATCACTTCATCAGACTTCAGCATCCACAGCGTCTCGTGTAGCTGACGAGGCAGCACTAGCAGATAATGACAACTGTCTGACGACAGAGGCGACTGCAGCTTCAGGCTTTGCCATTACAGCGCATCGTGATCAGTAGTTGCACGCTGGAAATATTGGGGTTGAAAGGGCGTCTGAGGCAGCAGTGAGGCTCACTGCGTCGAGAACGCGCCGAGGACTTGAGGTTCGTAATGGTGGTTGACTCATCGTAGCGCTTTTCGTTTCTGCTTAAGAAGAGTGAAAGGCTGCATCTTTTTGCACGGACTACGCCGATTTCGCGGTGGACACGGCGTACTCGAAACACGAGGCACCGAAGGCTCCCATTGGGGAGGCATATGTTTATGCTGAAGTTACATCCTCCGCTTTGAAAATTATATTACAGTTTATCATACTCGTGGTCCGGAGCCCTCTCAGCATATGACGGAGTTCGTTTCGTTAATATGCTTTTGGAAAGAGCTGGCCTGTCTCGCTTAAGCGGTCTTTGCCGGCGCAATGCTCCAACAATCAAATGTGAAGTAGCAGCTTCGCCGAATCACGTTCTGTTTCTGTATCTGTACTGCTTTCACGGAGCTCAGCAACTTTCAGAGTTGGCCATAAATGTGGAGTGCGACACAAACTGACTTCTGTGACATTTCGGATGTTCATCCCCGTAATTCGCAACAGCAACTTGTCGATACCTGTCTTGCATTCGTTTCATCTCGTGCTACGAAGAAGATTGATTGATGATGATTAAGCTAGACTCGCGAGACGCAAGATGAGTTATGTTTACGGGCGCCGCAGATAACTTACATGACGCTGTTGGGTAGAGTAGGGGTGTACTTTGATTTTTCTGTGCGGTTTGTAAGAGCTTACGCGTTTTTTGTTTCGTAGACTCTGGCTTTCCTCCAAAATAACCACGTCGCATAGGAACAGCAGTTGCACAAGAGCTCTGCACCATCTCTGAAAGGGCTGCTCAACGGGAACAGCGTACATTATCATACCTGTTCATTTCAGTAGTGACGATGAGTATATGAAATGGGGTGGGGACTTGCGTTTAGATTAAGGTGCTATACTTCAAGTGGGCGGGGAAATCCTTGTGTGTTCTCCAAGAGGCTGTCGGTACAACCCAGTTGAGACGCCCCACAGTGAAGCGTAACAACGTGGAGCACTTGGGGAATGAAGAGTTACGCTTTATGGGGGCCAATGGTTCCTGCAGACCCAGTTCCATCCCGGGCAAATTATGTTTTCAGGTAGCTGCACACAGCTACAGGTGTACAGGTAACACCATCGCCTAGCGTAGGGCCAGAATCAGACTTACTTGATGCAAGTGGAGTTATATCAGCTAGCTATCGGAAGTGCTTATGGCGGACGTGAAACATAAGTTTGTCGGATACGCACGCAGGGCACACACCAATTTGCAGGTTTTCTCCATCGTGAATGTACGTGTTTGCGTCTGTGAAACGAGCAGACGGTACCACTCAGAATAAATCAGCAAAATTGAACATATACGTAAACCCAATCAAAGTAGTGTGTACTCTGCATAGTCCTGTTTAAACGGGAGGACGCTTGCTGAAACACTGCTCAGCACAGCACGCCGTCGGACCAGCTCGCCATTGTTTAATGGAGGCTTCTTTAAATTCAGTTGAATTCAACTTAGGGACATATATTATGAGGAAAACATAATTTGACGAAGAGGATTGGGTTATACTGGTGTGGAGCTGTCAAGCGTTTTGCCGCATGAAGGCAACTGGCGGGAGCGGGCACCTGCGCCGACGGAGACCGGACCACCGCAGGTTCCGCCATCGAAAAGACAAACCTTGCACGAGCGCATCCTTGGGCCTCATCAGCGCATATATTTTTAGGAAAAGAGTAAAATTGTAAGAAAATTTGTATCCTTTCAGGTGTGATAAGGTGCAAGACATAGCGTGGCGAGGCAAGGGAAAGCACTGGCCTGGGAATGCCCGTAATGGCAGTGCTCTCTTCCCCGCGTTCTGCTGGTGACACTTCGCCAGTGGCCAGATCTACGCTCTCTACATTTTTCTTGTGAAATTATACGGATATCATCTTGGACACTTCCGTTTAAGCGCTTTCAGAGTTTTAAGCCTTGCCCGTCAATGCATGAGGCACGACTGTTTCCGCTGCGATGCACAAAGATTGCCCCCGCAGCTTGAGTGGTTGTCAAATCAATTTCACTGTGGTGAAATAACCACTGGAAACTATTGTGATGCCCATGTCGTAGTGGATGTTGCTGGTCATGCTTTTCAAGGCAGCCAATGGTACTCCAGTCAACAAAACCGTTCTCTCGGGTGAAATCGATTACATGCTCGTTCTGTTCCAATGAAAAGATGTATATGGTCCATTTGTGCTATATATATATCAGCTAAGAGAGACAGCTTTCCAATTCATCCCTGGAGGACAGGCCACCTGGCTTATGTGGCCAGAAGCCCTCCCTGCCACTACAACAGTGTTCAAGTGCAGCCACACAATTCCCTACAGCTCTGCCCTCGCACAAAAGAGGGATGTGGCCTCGAGTTTGGAGCAAAGCCCTGCAATTTTTTCTACCAGCAAGCATGATACAGCTGTATATGCACTTGCAATGTGTAGCAATTTGCTTATCACTGCTGTCAGCAGCTTCGTGTTCTCCGATAACGGACTTCAGTGGTAAGCCAACCACGCAAATGTTTCATGAGAACTGCCGTATAGCTATATATATACATTTGGACGGCTTTCAGGTGGCTCTGTTGTAGCACGACGAGCCAACAAAGCACTCTTCGACAAGTTGAAAGAAATTTTAGATGAATTAATCATCCTGCACTTGCTTCCTATTCGTATTATTTCTGCACAGAAAATTCTGGACTGCCACCCCTTTCGGACTGCTACGGGGACATAAAGGCGTGCACAAGAGGTCTCGCGCGCGATGCGGAGGACCACCAGCGAGGCCGAGTGCGGCTGATAGCAAATGCCACCCGCCATGGGCTTGATCCACCGTGGGGACTTTTGCAGGTACATCTCGCAGTAGGAAACTTGGAAACGTTTGTCTAGCTGCTTGCAGGAAACTGCGTGAGAAGGCTGCTCCTTCAGCTGGCGCACCCTTCTTTTTGTGTTTGTATTACATTCTGCAAGACATTGTGGGCTTAACTTTGCTACTGTCATTTTCGTGTGACTATTAATTGGCAGTTCGCAGCAAACCTGCCTAGACGGAAGAAGCAGGGCCTTACAGAAGCTGAAAAGCAAGCACGGAAATTGGCGGAAGCACGCCGAGCTAATCAGTGGAGGCGGGCGGGATCCCCGCATTCGAATTCCTCAATATCTGAAAGTGAAGATGAACAATGGAACGAGCCCAGGAGTGCTTATACATCGACGCCTCCACACGAAGCCCTGCCAGATGGCCGCAATAGGACACCGCCGCTGCCCGGTGCCAAAAACCCAAAAAGCCAGAAACAAAGAGTCTTAGAAGCTTCGTATAAACAACCGTATTCTTCTCAGTTTCAATCCGTCCTCGGTCAGGTTCACGATGCTGAGCTCTCAGATGATGAATCTACTGCGCAAAACCCAAGCCATGAAGGAGTTCCGGATGCCTCTCAAGCACAGGCTTCAGCAAAAGCGTCAAGCAATAGCTCCCCCTTCATGGCAACAATGAGCAACTATAAGCTATCAGATGGTAGCAGCACATCTTTTTCAAAACCCCATCTTCGTCTCTCAGGTGCTGGAGGATATGATGAGAGCAGCTCCACAAATGCATCCGAGGGCTACAGAGGGGCTAACGCCATCTACAACACGAGTTCAGCAAGCTCAGCTGTCAGTGAGGAAAATGGCTCAGCCCATGGAGATAACATGACTGGATGGCCAGGAGATGGACAACAACATGAAGTTTCGGGGGAGGCGAAGCCTACATTAGCTAATTTGGTTATGAAGGGTATTGGAAGCGGTGAGTATAGCGGCGCTTAGGCATCGTTTTCTGCAGACTGTTGTGCTTTAAACTTAGTGAGAGCGCAAATGTTGAGCTTTTTAGCCCGAAAGAGATTTTTTAATGCCAAGGCACCGCCGTGTGCCCTTTGTCTTTGGTTAGGCTATACAGACAGCTCACTGTATCGTGGCTTGATCTGTGCTCCTCTTGCCATATTCTCTTTTAGAGCTGTTGAATTGCATTGAACTTCCCCTTGGTTATCAAGAAATAGACTCCAAGGTGGACGACTTTTGCAAGAGGCTCAAGAAGAAAGACACTCGGTATCCTAATCATCCGTTGCAAACGGCCTGTCGGAAGGGGGCAAAGCATGTAGGCACTCAGCTTCGGCGCGTTTACCAAGAGTGCAAAGCGGGAATGTACGGTAAGCGAGTTAGTTGAGTTACATGGCATCACCTCTAAGATTCGTGGCCTTTTGAAGTGCCGCAGACAGTCCGCTAGAGAAACTTCTGCTATGCACTGCAGCTGGTTGCCCCAGAAGCACAGCCTTCTGCCAAAGTTAAGAAGTTACAGCACTTGTGGTAGCATTTGAGGTGGAAACCGCCGAAGTTGCTGCTGTCACCGTCGTTCGGGCCAGAAATAGCTTTCAGGATAGCGGAACTTGTTTCTTGCAGAATGCCTTAAATCATTGTGGCTGGCTCCAGTGGTGCCAGGAATTACTAAGTTGAGAAGCCTGATGGGAAGTAAGTCTTACTACGCAAAGATTGCACGGCAGAGAATGCATGCCGGGCATTTTAAGCATCCAAACTGTCTGTAACCAAGAACAGGGCATTATGCCAAGCATTTAGAGTCTGAAGAACTTTGTTTTGGAAAGTAGGCGATGCATTTCGCTGCGTAGCGTGCTCAAGCCTCCACGGTAGCTCTTCCCAATGCGCTGAAAATTGTAAGACTCAGGCTTGTTCTTTCTGCGCAGTACCTCAGTTGGGGGATCTCAACCTTGTTGCAAAATTTATAAAAGACGCAATTGAGTCTCCCCAGGCTGCTCATGTGTGGAAGTATCCTGATATGGAGTCAAATTCTTGCATTTTTGAGCATCAATATGAAAATTTTCTTAGGGACAAAAGACGAAGAGTAACTGAAAAGCTTCCTCATGACGAAGGATCGCGGCGAAAGAAAATCGTGAGCTGCATCCCTTCTTAAAAGCGTCAGGCTGCTGCACATCATCCTTGTAGAAAGACAAGAACAAATTGCACTTCAACGGGCCGCACAGTTCTGCTTTTCTTTGTGCAGTTGGAATCCCTGGAGCTCTTGCTGCTTCTCTCACAGCGGCACCAGGTCGAAACAACCTTTACAGGATTTCTTATGAGTCTATTCCGTATGGACAGATGCAAACAGAAATTCAAGAAAACTCCAAGGTATCCAGCTCCCGACGGCTCCACCGTTGACTCAAGGGGTCTTTTTCAGGCCTTGTTGGCAAATGTTGTGGGTGACGCATTCGTTGTTAATCCAAAAGAATGCGGCACAGACGAGGCCCTGAAAACTGGCACGAAGACTAGCGTTCTGTGTGAACACCTGGCTCATGGTGTGAAGCTGAGGAGCGTTTTGAAACCTATCATGCAACTGGTAGCAAACGGCGAGCTTGAAGAGGCCATGGCAAAAGCAGCGAACTTTGCCGGCGATTTCCAGGCAACGGAGGTGGACTGGCAGGACTTCGAAGCCACTCAAGCGATTGCTAAAGTGCATGCTGCAATGTCGGTTTCCTTGCGTGAGTTTGCCATCCATCACACTTCAATATTCGTCGCATTGTTTTGCCTTGCGACTGAAATGCATGCCTTGGAAGAGGCAACTACTCAATTTCGCAGTCTGTCGCCTCTGGCCTCTGGCAGCTTTTCGCATATCGCAATAACTTCATATGAGCGCTGTTCGCAGACTTTGCGGTATCATCGTGGAAAGGGAGGCTCGCAGCTTGGTTGACTGCAAGGGCGGCGCTATCTCCATTGCTTCGCAAGGTTTTCGGCGAAATAGCCACGTCTCTCTTCGAGGTCAATGGCAAGGGGGGAGACTTCGGAATGGTTATCAGGAGCGTCGAAAGGGAGCCGGACGTTAGCAGTGCAGCTTTGTTGAAGTACGCCGAAATCGAGGTGATGCAATCAGCGGCTGAAGCTCGATTTTATTGTCAAACGGGCTACAAGGGGCTTGGCAATGCAGTTCGCAGTGCACTGAAGACGGTTACAGACAGGTTTGCACGCATGAAATCCACTGAGAACAGAAGAGAGGGACGTGAAGGGACTGGTATGTCCCGTCTCCCAAGCTTTTTCCAGGTGTACGCTTCGTGGAATCTTGCTGAAAACACATCTCTGCACCCAAGAAGAGCACCTGGACTGGGTGCAATGGTGCAGTATCCTCCTTCATTCGTCTGGTTATCATCCCACTGGAAGCAAAAGGCCGGCTCCGCTTTAGCTGCCAGTGGCGCTTCAGCAATGAAAAAGGTTAAAAAAGTCCTTAAAAAAGTCAAAGTGAAGGTCAGTGAATATTTTGCAGACTCCAAATTACTTAGAAAACGATGGTGGAACGTTCTTCTTGATACTTTGCAGAGGCTGAAGAACGGGGACACAACGGCGTTACCTGGAGCTGTTCTATTGGCAGTTCTATTCTTTGTAGTCAGCGTTTCCTTTGCTGTAATTGCTTCTGTGGCCGTTCAACTAATCGGGGCCTTCTGCGTTCTGGCGGTTGTGCTCCTGTTGCTGGAGATGTTTCAGTCTGATGCATCACCTCAAGTACCTGCTGTGTCCGACACCCCATGACTTGCGAAGGCATGTCAGCAGATAAGCAACTGTGTAGCTTGTCACGGCAAGTGCAAATTATCCATGCACTTGTGCGCTAGTTTAGCTGGCACTGCATTGAGGACTTGCCGCATGTCGACGTTCTAACCGTAGCAGTCTGCGGGGCTGCAAGCGTGCAGTGCTATTCCTGCCCGTTTCCGTGGACTCTCTCAACTATGTTGCCCGCTGACCCGATGTGGGTCAGCGTTTGTAACAACCCACTCTACTGAGGCGGCACTGCACTGCAGAGGCACCTCACCACAACGGGCTGAACAGTTGGGCGGCGCCCCCACACGACTTTTGGGGAGACGCTGACATTCTGGTGTCCTCAGTGGTGGTCTCAATAGTCTTGGGAAGCGCTTGCTTCCTTGCCCTTCCAGTTACGACCAAACTTGATAAAAGATGAAACTTCTGAATACTTGCTCAGTCAGACGGCAGGAAGTCTTAATGGTACCTCACCGTTAGCAGATGGACGCTTAAATCTTTGAGTTGCCCAATGCACAAACTCCCGCTGCCCTTTATCCTTCTACGCTCCATGCATCACAGCCTCCTTGATGCTCTTGTGGAGAGAGTTTTTGTGAAGATGCCTCTTGGCACTCTGTATCCGTTGGAGACAAATCCCTAGGCTTTATTCTTGCTTCGCCCGGTCTGCCGATGGTTTTACAGCAAGCGGTAGCTGCATGGCTTTCTACACTCCTCGCGTTGAGAGGCGGGACACACCTGCTCGGCCCTCTACCATAAGCAGGCTTTAAGGTCTTCTCCTTTTCGCCAAATGAAGTAAAATTCCTCTGTCCATCTCTGTGCGCCTTCCATAGGAGGGATGTCCCGAGCGAACCCGCAGCGAGCGCCACCATGAAGCTACCAACCACGAGGTTGCCCGACAGCACAGAAGCAACTCCCACTCCAACCTTCACCGTAGACCAAGCGCAGCCCAACTGCAGAACCAATCCGCAAAATTTGCGCATTAGACAAAACAGAAGATTTATGTAAAACAATCTGGAGGCGGAAAAGAAAGCCTTCTGGTCAGCAAATTCTCAAAAATTAACACTAGTGATAGACATGGCTGGCATAAAGCAGGGAAATGCATTGTTGAAAAGACGTGAATTTGATGCGTAGGGTTTGCGCAAGGTAGGGAAAACAAAAAAGCCTTATGGAGATATCTTGTGGGATTCACTGCAAGAGTACTATCCCGTCGTGCTACCTCCGGCCTAAACTTCGGTGGCCCGAGTTATGTTTTTAAGGTCGCTTTGCTTTCCTCACCTCAGGCCCGCTTAGTTGGACGATTTCGTTTATATGATGCTGCAACTCGGCAAAAGTTTTGGCAGAAGTGACGCCTACTGAGTGCTTGGCGAGCTCACGGCTGACTGCTTGCACGTCTTCGACGACCGCTCCCTGCACCTGTTTGACGCAATCAAGAAATTCTCTTAAGGTGTCGTCAACACCGTTCACATTCCCTTCAGCTGCTTTATGTAATTCATCAAGCGCTCCGTCCAACTGGCATAAGTCGGGATAGAAACTCTGTTGTGTTGAGTTTGCCCCGGCAGTTTCATCATCCCACACATCCGACTGGGGTTCACCTGCATTGTCTAGCCCCACATTTTTGTTCTCCGAAGCATCTTTCGCCGCAGTTACTGCAGAAAACTTCGCTGGGTAGGCTGCCCTCATGTAGCGACTGGCAATCCGGCAGGGGAGGACCCCGCATTGTTTCGCATCATTGCGCTGTTCAGAGAAGTTGCTCGGTTGGTCTTCAGCCGGGCAACGGCGACGAGGAATATATCGTGATACATTGACACATTTCGATATCATTGCAGGAGAAGCGTCAAGCAAGATAACGTGGTGATGCGGCCTTGATAGCCTGCTGCCCGTCGACTAAGGGCACTACTAGCACCACCAATGTGCTGCAAAGGCTCGCAAAAAAGTGGCCCAGTTCTGGCTGCGGGCCTTGTGCGTCTGCGTAAACTGAGAGGCTTGAAAAATGGTGTGGGAGGAACGCATTTATTTCTTTTTCGGGGTCAACAGTAACGAATACAACAAACCTATGAAGGCTTTTCAACCCTTGAGCCTGTTAAGCATTGATTCGACTGAGGTCATGGCCTTCTTCTTCAGATTTCCAGAACGTTAGATAAGTTGACAGGAGAAACAGAATTGCACAAAAATGCGATTGGCGCTACGCGCAGCATTTACATTTCAGCGGACTCGAGAAACACATCTCCTTCCGCCTTATGTATCGCGCTACGCTTGCCTTTCCTGCTTCCACAAGTCGCCTCCCAGCAAAAATGAGCAATTTAAAACCCTACTGTCCAATGTTGTGGGCTGTGAGGGTTGTTGGGAATGTAGGAGAGAGCAGGAGGGATACGGGCTGCAGGCCCTCGGCTCCACTGTTGGCATGTGACAGCAAACAGTTGGGTTTGAAATGAGTAAACAAATTCATGTTCGTAGTCTCAACATCCGTTCAGTATATAAAGCATGCAAATGTGTCAACATAGCGCTATTTAGAGGCAATATTATGCATGCCGATCCTTAAGGGGCCGAGTACTACAAATACAGCGAGGTAAGCTGATATCGACACTACGCGTTCCGACGTGTTCACTGTCAAGAAAACGAGCCTTACAAATACCTTCAGAATACAAATTCATTACTTTCAAAGGGAAAAATGTTTCAATGAGTGAGCGAGTAAGTGGACTAAATAGTGTCGTGCTGAATTTGTCCACCAGTGGCATGCCGGTGGCCCACAGACTCAAAGTTGCTCGGTTAGGTTACTTCAAAGTATCTCCTAGCGTTTCACTGTTATGGCAGTTTTTAGCTATTGATATATGTGGCGACACTAGTGTGAAGCGGGCCCGCAATTTCTGTCTGCTGCCAGGTAAAATTGCTTCTGTGGTAGCACTTGCGTTCTGCGCTAGAAACGCGCAGGACTCAAGTCACGTGGTACTGATTGCCAGAACTCATTGGAAGCTTTAACTACAACTTACCGCATGAAGCAATTGTTAAACAAGAGGAAAAATATATCAGCTTGGAGCTAATACAGTTCCAGTACGTTTTACCTATTCGTTGCCCGGTGTTGAGTGACGGAGGCTCAGCACCTGGGCCACGACTCCCGTTATACTGAAGAACTCTGCAGCTCTGAAATCTTCCACTACTCGGGTTTAGGCCACAGGACTCCTGATGCCGACCGTATATGCTGCGAATGTACATCGCTACACAGCGAAGTGCCTTCCCTCGAGGGACTTATCGTGCCATTTGCTCATGCCAATGATTACTTTTGTCAGAAGCTGCTACTTGCCCACTCAACAAACCATCTTAGGCACCATTTCCCTTGTGTAGCCGGGCTCCTTGGCCCCTAGGACTCTACTGTCCTTAACCACTGCAGTTTCGTTCTAGCTAGTGCGATTTTTACTCACCACTCATTACACTGCAGGACGCGCCTTATGCTGGCAATGTGCACTAACTAATACTAGAAAGTCCGTTTGTAAAGGAACAATAGCTTTTGATAGCCATTATGCGCTCCATGTACTGCTCACAATGGACTTAGAGAGCCAACTGGTCAGTCTCTGGTAGCTTCGGCCCCTTCAAATACACATGTTGCGGCCGATGTGACGATTAGTGGTAGAGTAGCAGCACCTTAGTGCTGCTACTCTACCACTAATCGTATGAGCCTAGGCTTATTGCACCCTGCAACATTGAAATAGTGCCATTTTGTAGTGTAGTGCGGCCTTCTCTTTTCTCTACGTCACGCTGAGAATAATGCTAGACTTCAAAGCAGCTCTAATTATCTGCTGCTTTTTAGTAGCAACGCCATTTCACTGCCCTAAGGGCGACTAGCATCCCCAAAACCTAGTCTTCTCTCGAGATGCAGGGTCCCCAGAAGATTGGATATTCCCGTGAATGTACAATTTTTTTCGAATCTGAGCTGATACAAAGGGAATCATAGTCTTCGCAACCTGTAAACACCTTAAAAATTATAATTCCAAGTATATCGCCCCACTGCGCTTTGCCAATAAGTTTTTCGTCAGATCTACAGCAGGTATGAAATTTCAATTGAGAAAACAAACTATTGCTATTACAGATCATCCACCTACTGAAACGGCTACGCGGATGCCACAGTTTTAACGTTGTGAGGGGGACTACGTTCCCAAAGCATCTTTGACTTTTTCCTAGAAAGTTTCAGCGCAAAGTGGAGTGCCACAAGCTGCCAGTCTGAAGTAGCCTGCGTTGCTGTAAGGAAGCATGAATACGCATGGCTATTCCCGTCGAATACAGCGGATACAGCACGTAGCCTTGCGTGAGGCATATTTTTGTCGTTCTCATCAGCAGAATGTAAACGACGCTCTAGCGTCGATTGGCTGAGTTCCATCGTGAAAAACCCGGCAGTGGCCGGCCCAAATGTGGCATATCTGTGTAATTCAATGTATTGAACAATAGCGCATCTCTTAATTTGACCCTTCTGGATATGAAAACATCTTTCTAGGTGAATGGTTTGGCTATTGAAGCACCACCTTAGATGAATGCGTAGCTGTCATTAGTGCTCCTTCATGAGATTACTCTTGCAACTGCACGATAGGTTTCTTCTCTGCTTTACAATTTCCCTTACCGCTCCGCGATTTTCGAGCAGTCCGGGAGGCCAGTAATTTACATGCTTGTGCACTGCGGCCAATTACGGTGCGGCGGTTAGGAGTTTCGCTTTTCCAGAAGCTAGCCAGGCCACAACGCACAAAAGCGGTAGCAGGCTGTAACACCAAGCAACGGCTCAGCGAACTAGAGAAGATCGCAGGGAAGAAGCTCCAGGGCAAGAATGTACTGTGTTGAAGTGCCAGCTGGATGCTGTACGAAGCGTCGAGTAGGCGATTAAACCATCCTTGTGTTCCGTTAATCGTCGAGCTCGTGGATGGAGCCTTATGGTAGCCCACTTTCAATGTCTCAAAGAACCTGGTAAGGCCTACCCACAATAGGTCGAGATGCGGCTACGAAGTAGAGAGACTGAGCGGCTCCCCGTCAACGTAGTCTCGTGAGAAGGGGCATGAGCTCCCCCACTTCTCTTCAATTGCACTTAGCGAGCCCTTGCTGTCACTAAGAGGGGAAATTTACCAGATATACAGGCGACGCCGCGTACCGCTATGTCTTTATTCAATTTATCAGCTCTACTGCCCGCTTCTTTTAGTGCATGCGTAGCCTGTGCAAGCAAGCGCATATCATACCGGCATTCAACTGTGAGGTCGGAAAGTATACGACTTCACGTTGCTCCATTTTTTAATAGCGAACCATTACGTTGCTTACATGGATACTCCTCTTGAAGATCGCAGTCCTCTTGAACGCAGATGACACAGCGGATGCATTCAGTTTTCTTCAACAAGTCAAAAGCTTCGTTGATCTGCGTAAAGTGCATGCTGTGGGTACAGTACTTATCCAACCTACAGAGGAGAGCAATTCATTCCATAAGGTGCCAAAATACACAGGAAATTCTGAATTGCAAGATGCTCACTAGATGAGCATAGAAGCAACGGCGACAAAACAAAGGGCCGCACTCTCGCTACAGTTCGTCAGCAAAATAGCAGGGGTAACGCAGGAAACAAGAATGGCGGTATGTGGCTGTATGACGGCATTAACACAGGCAGCACGATCAAGACCCACGACAGCAGCAAGTCAGTGCCCGACAATAGACTCAACAATAACAACAGCAACGGGTGCCTCAGCGTTCGCGCTGGACGCTGGGAACTGGCGACTACCAGTGAAAATGCTTGTGTCAATGTTTACTGGAGCTCTCCGCTGATAACTCTCTGAGCAAGCTTTGGTATATCCTCTCTCGACCTCCAGCCACCAAAGACAGAGCCCTTGAGTTGCCGTCCCACAATAAAATGGTACGGCCTTGTGCTAATCTCCTTCCCGGCCTCGCCAATTCTACAGCACCCAAAAAGGCTAGTCAGTGGAAGAGCACCTTTGTTGCCCAGTCTATGCTTGCTTGTTTGAAAATGCATTTTTGCTTCTACACCTGATTCATGTTCTCTAGCTTCAATTAAAAGCTTGTAGATGGCATTAAAAAGATGGTAAGGATTGTATAATTAATGCGAGCCCTTACCCAACGATAACTGCGAGTCCCCATCCCTTGCAAGTTGATTCTACCGCATTGCGCATTACAGTTGTGTTGCCAGTGCATTCAAAAGCATAGTCTACGCCGCCTGCAGTGAGCCGGACGCGCATATGCCATGCAACTACACAGAAAAGTTTGTCTCAACTATTATTGTCTTGAGGCTTTGCTACCTGGGTTCTCTGTGTTTGATATAGACGCTGAGCTCACCGTCTGTCATCTCAATAATGACCTCTTGGATGGGCTTGTCGTATTTTTTCGGGTTGAGGAAATGGGTTCCTCCAAACTGCTTTGCGACTTCCAGCTTATGCTCGTTGATATCCACACATATTATCTCTTTGGCGCCAGACAGATACGCTCCCTCTACGCACGCCAGTCCGACGCATCCGAGCCTGCACGCCGCATATCATACGCGTCTAGTTTCATTCATGAAGCGCTTCGAAAGCGAAAGGGCTGTTTCACAGGATTGGTATCAAAGGGCGGATCATTCTGTGCACTAAGCATTCACCAGCTCTACGCCCCAACAGAACGCTGCACGTGATCTAGGTGTTGTAAGCACGGCTGTTGCGCAATAACGCGTTTGCAATATTTCAATTTGGGCAATTACCCGAAAACAGCAACTGCTGAGCCTTTTTCGACCTTTCCTGTGTTCATCGCAGCGCCCATGCCGGTTGCCACTCCACATCCCAGAAGGGACATCTGTTACACAAAGGAGCAGAAACACGAGATATCTTGCTCCTCCGCAGATCTGTGCCCTCAGATCTTGGGCTCCATACTTCATGGTGTCAGAGCTTAGGTTCCATACTGTATGAGCTACAGAGATTTTGCTGGGTAAGCCTCATTAGCCGGATGCATAGCGTAATCAAAAACACAGCAACAGCACCTCGTCGCTAGTGTACTTCCTCCGGCCAGCCAAGAGCCGATAGACTTACACGGCTCATGGGGCTTTCCGGAGGAATTACGGCTACACATTCTTGGGGAACGACTGTGTACTGCGAAAAACTGGACACCTCAAGGACAGAGCAGAAAGAGCAATCACGATGAGCCTCATGTGAGTTCAACTGCACGATAGATGCTTTTAGAGGTCCAGTGGCTCTGAAATTATGGTGGCGTAGCTAACCTGGAAGTTCCCATGAAGTGGTGAATCGGCTGCCCATCCTTCGTAGTAAAGCGCGAAGTATTGTCGAGTGGCATTACACCTTTCACAAAAGCCTCGAGGAACTTCCCACACATGTTTGTTCTGTGGCACTCGTATCCGCGGCACGTTCTGCATTTTCTGGCCTTCCTGTCCTCAGGGAAGCACTGCGGCTGCACGTTTGTTTGGCACAAAAGTAGCAACACTCGTTACTTCGACCTGCACGTTCCGTGTTGCTGTGTTTGCCTCAGATAAGATGTTACTTCTTGGTAACATTAAGGCTACGGCTTAGTAATTCTTGTAAACTTTGTTGCTGGTCTGTGGAGCACCTCAGCAACTGCTCACCTCCCAGAGAGGAATAACCTTATCTCCAGGCTTGCAGGTAGTCACACCTTCTCCGATAGATTCCACCTCTCCACATGACTCATGACCGAGAATGCAAGGGTACACACCAGTGGGATCTGCGCCTCGTTGAGTGATCTGGACTCAAAGCACATTTTCGGGTAGGGGAAAGGAGATCAGCTAAGCCAGACCAAAGAGACATCTGTTGCAAACAACGTAGAGCCCCTGCCCGTAAAAGCAAGCTACAATAAATCTGTGAATTTAAAACAGAAAGTGCACTAGCGCTCACCTCATCAGTGTGGCATGGACACGCGTAAAGAATTCTAATGCGGACTTCGCCTTTCTTGGGAGGAGCTACATTCACCTCCATAATCTGTACCAGGGCAGACCAACATTGCTACACAGCGTCCGTTAGTCCCATATGGTCGTCAGTAGTTCAGTGCCTTGTGAATTTCATAGCGGCTCCCAAAAAATGCAGCGTGTGGTACCCAACCGCTGAGAGGAATGCCTATAATTCGGTCTGTAGAGCTGAAATATCTGCCAAAATTTGCCCGACTGTGTTGTTCTCGCATTAATTCCACTTTCACAGGGATCGCTTACTTCAAATGGCTGGCCCGGAGCCATTACAACCGCCGCCTTGCAGACGATCGTTTGTGGAAGGTCACTCATTTTCAGTTCAAGCCTAACGCCTTACCCAGCAATGTGTATTTCAGCATAATGAGTGGACTAGAAATGATTATCTATCCCACTATGTTGCAGTAAGGAGTTTCATCCGAAGACAAGAGCGCCGAGGAGCAGCCATGCAACGCAAGACGAGAGCTGCGCTGCTAGTAACGGTAGTAACCCCGCGTACAGTGAACATCCAGAGTTCCATCCAGTTTTCTGTCTGTCGATTTCTTTTGGTACGAGCCAGCCAATGCGTTTCTTGTTTTGTATAAATTAATTTTGCACTAACATAGTGCTGGCCAAATTATAAAGGCTGTCATAGTGGCCCGGCGTGTCCGTCGTCGTGTTCTCGCCACCTACCCTTTATTTCGCCGGCTTAACTGCTGCGCTGCAGTCTCTATTTTGCTTTCTTCTTCGCTTTAGCTGAAATGATACATGGTAAAAGCTGATGTATTTGTGGCTAGTGCGTAGCAGCCGTTTACGTTCAATAGACTTGAATGCACGCTGGCAGTTAAAAAACTACGGCGCCTGCCCGCCCCACAAACAGTAATACATTCCATCCACAAGCGCTGCATACACTCACCACACTAAAATCTATTTTCAGTAAATCTGATCTGTTTAACGCCAAAGCCTCTATGCACCCGCGGGAAGCTCCGAAAGGTCAGCAGCAGGCCATTCTCCGTTGCGACCGGGCGTTCTCCTTGGCGGGTTGAATTTGATGATAGTAAACACTATAAAAGCTGTTTCTGCTTATTCCAGTTAGAAAAGCTGATGTGTGCACGCGAACTGACGGCCGTACATGCCGAAGGGTGCGCTAGTGCTTCACGACCCAGCAAGCCCTGGCTTGCTGGGTCGTCACTGCTCTGTATAGGCGTTCAAACACGAACGAGGAAGCGATGTGCATGGGTGGGGACAAGTTGTGTAGTTTGGAACCAAGGATTCCTCATGGCAGTGTAAAACCACTCAGACTCCCCACTTTTGTACTTCTTTGGGCGCATTAGCCCTTCGAAATTCCGGCATTGGACTTTTGTCTGCCTGCAGCAGTCTCTGACCGCCTGGAGGAGCTTGCCCCTTCTCTTCGAGCAAAACAAAAGTTTTAGTCCATGCTTTATTTTGTTTGTTGCTTTTCGGTTTGAGGTGCTAGTGAACAACGGGACAAATCATATGGTGGCTCAATCTGAACAGAAGGTGTTCAAGAGCTGCATAAAAAGTGCCTGCTCTTCTCTTCAATGAATGTTTCGTGGGAGTTGACGTGCTCAAATACTGCATGAAGAAGTGTCTGCTGTGTCATTCAGTGAATGCGTCGCGGGAGTTGGTGCTGAGGAACGCGCCGCACAGCCCAAGCCCGCTTGTTCCATTGCCTCAGTGAACATTCTAGACCAACTTCTGCTGTTCCTTAGTCTCGCGTTTTTCTTCATTTGCCTTCGGTAGTCCACTATCGTAACATACTCGTCATTATTCCTCCGCGGTCTGTGCCGCACCTACTGACTTGTAGCTCCCTCATGCAGTTCTACACTGCAGTGCATTAGCAAAGAGTACAAAACTTTCATGCTATATGGTAGAGTTTGAATAATTCAGGATATACAATACGCGCAAACTGGTCAAAAACGCGTTACTTGAGTGAAACATTCCGCGCCGCGTTGTTCCTCCCCACTACAAGCGGCCAGTGTTCGCTTCCCATTACTGCGCCTCTTAGCCACTCCTAGCTCATTAGTACAAAAATGCCAACATCAGATAGATATTCTCAGCTGCTTCTTTGGTCCTGTGAATCCCCATGAAGCCTTGACGCAGAACAGGCCCCAAGAGCTTGCCTAAGGGGTCCGCTTTGGAGAGCCAAAGTGCTATCACCCTTCCCCTGGCTTTGCAAACCCTGAAATATTCCTACGATGCGCTTATGAAAACTACAGGAGGCCAGTATGACATACTGGCTGGTGTAGGCTAACCGAAGACAATGCAATCAGCCACCGGTACTGGCGGAGAACAACTCGATAGTGGCTGGATGGTCTGCTAGCGGTCCTTCCCCGAAGTATGCGTATGAACAATGCTTGCATCAAAGAAGATTCGAAAAAGCAAACAACCGCGTCGATTACGCTTGCCGTTCTTACGAATTTCGTTGCGCATGGCCTGTATGAGCGAAGCCACAGAGCCACTGGCGCCCGCAGCTGCATGCTCCACTACAGAGCCTCTCCTGCCCTTTCCCTTTGACAAAAAGAAAAACAATTGCAAATTAATGATGATTTGCATTTAACGAATCTTCCCTGGTAGGGCAGTTTCCTTCGGGGAGAAATGCAAGAGGCACAACCTCATACCTCGCAGCCCCAGTTTAGGCAAATGGGCCGTAGCGTCGAGCTGACATAGAATAAGGACCAACTTGTTTCTGTGGCAAATACGCTTGGAAATTGACTGTTCATCGGGCGAATTGGTAGAGAAGCTTCCATTCATACGCTGTATGGCACTGTATGGCACGCCCCTCGGCATCAAGGGGCTTGGGCCTGTTCGGAATGCCGCCAATTAGTATTTTCTGTCAGTCGGCGTCTTCACTGATGCATCAATGGGAAACTCGTGCTCCCCAGGCTGCATTGCTGCCACCCCGGCCCACCGACGCGGAGTTGATGACATTCGCAGGTACTACAAGATAGGTCGCATCATAGGCTGCGGCTCCTTTGGCCAGGTACGAGAATGCATCGACAGGGAAACTGGCCAAGCCTATGCTGTGAAAGTGATGGAGCGGCGTATGAGTGGCAAGGATAAGATGACTCCTGGCCGGCCTTCTAACGAAGCTATGATACGCTCGGAGGTGGACATTCTCAAATCATTGAACCATGAGAACATTGTAGCGTTTGTAAAGTTTTTTGAAGACAAGCATTGTTTTTATGCCATCCTTGAAAAGTGCGACGGTGGCGAGCTCTTCCATCAGATTGTCAGCCGCAGGCAATTTACTGAAGAAGATGCGTCAGCCCTTTGCAGACAAATGGCATCAGCTCTCGCCTACCTTCACGGTCAGGGCGTTGTCCACCGCGACGTTAAGGTACGATGACCAAATGTAACTTTCCGTGACCAGCAGGGGCCCACTGGGTGCTCCCGTCAGGTTCCATTGCGGTGGTGATCAGATTTCACGGCTGCCCCGTTATTTGTAGTGTATGCAATTTCCCTGCAGTAGAGTAGCTCCTCTCAGTTTTGTGCTGCTCATGTGTTGCGATCTCTGACACTTTAGGCGGAGAATTTTCTTTTTAAGAACAAGGGACCCGACTCTGTCATCAAGCTTATTGACTTTGGAATGTCCGCACGGGTGAGCGGCGTTTCTGCTGCGCGCTGACGCTTCCCTGGCTTATTTGTGCTCAGTCTGGGCTGCAAGTTCGGGATTCCTGCTATGAATTTTTAACTTTCTTTCCATTTGCGTTTGTTGCCACAGTTACCGGAGTGCGGATACCTAACGGACCTCTGCGGAAGTCCACACTACATATCTCCTGAACTGATTAGGTAGCTAACCTGCAAACTACAGCGCTCCTTATCAGTTAGGCAGTGCTTATCAAGTTTGTTAATTTTGAAAGACTTAACTACATGAAGAGCGTATGAGCGGTTATGCCTACAGCAAACGCTACGACCAAGGGGCGGATATGTGGGCGTTTGGAGTAATGATATACTTGATGCTTTTCGGAAGATATCCGTTTGAAGGAAGCAAGGCCAGTGCTATTGCAGTAAGCTCGCAGCTCCGTTTGACAAAATCACTTTTCGCTGCAGAGGTGTATTGCATATTATTTCAGCCAGTTCAGCTCTTTGCGCTCACCGAAAGGATGCCTGTTTCGTGCAGAGGGAGGTGCAAAACAAGCAGCTCAACTGGTCGCGAGCTGCTTGTCCATTTTTGACGGATGCTGCGATTGATTTCCTGAGCCGCTTGTTGGACAGAAACGAAAAGACGCGACTCACTGCAGCACAAGGTGAGGCTGGAGTCTACATCTTTCAGGTAGACCTTCGCGGAGCCGGCGAACGACCATGTTTCTTGCTGTTCATAGTTCTGACCATTGTTACATTCTCCTCAAATCTGTCGCGTGCTGGTGTATTTTACGGGATGCGTGTGAGTAATGGTGTCCTTGCAGCCTTGGCGCATCCGTGGATATCACAGCCATCACCGGACAAAGCGATGTCCGTGATTGGCAAGGATAAGCTGGAGCTAGCCCGGTGAGTTGCCTGTTATAGTTGTGTAGTTTGCCGTCTTTTGCTAGCGCCAGGCTAGCAGACAAATGTGAGGATTAGGTGCCAGACAGCCTGAAGATACTGCAACTACAGCCATGAATCCTGGGTCAGCCTGGTTACCCTTCCTGTGTTCTTTGAACTGTTTCGCTTGCTGTGCAGACGGCTCTCTGTTGATTGCGAACACCAGGGTAGTCAGGCATCCACAAAAAAGAATTTTAAGATTGACAAGGCCCCCAGACAGGTGCCGCTGCTGACAGTTACAGCTGCTGACCGCTGTGCTGTGCCGAAGCGTATGCCCAGGGACTTACGAGTTCCCGTGCCTGCGTCTTAAGGACGCCACGTGCACGTACTATTTGCTAAAACACGTGTGGGGATTCTGTTAATATGACTGTGCGCCTCAGCATAGTCGCCATCAACTGGCAGACGGCATCGACGGCAGTAGCCGGAACCAGAACGGAGAGTTCGACTCAGGATAAGGGGCAATTAGTGTTTGCGGGGAGACAATGACCGGTCCGTTGGAAATGAAGAGTTGATTTGCCCATTCGGCATATGTGGCTGTTTCCTTGTGAAGTATTGTGTGCAAAGGCAGGCGCCCAAACGTGGGCGACTGCTAACCTCCGACAACTAAAGTGGTGGCGGAGTTACTATTTTTTTGGGGTCTGACATTACTGATGTGCTGGGAGATCATGGCCCAGGGAGGGGAAGACTATCTTTGCTCCACGACTACGTATTCCCGCCTGCCCGTCAAACTACACTGGACCATAATGCCTCCGCTGCAGTAAAACGCACCCATTCACGGCGCGGTGGTTGAGGTATCTTGACAATGTGTGGGAGTCAAGAAGCACCGGTACATGTCCTTGGCGTGTCAGCAGGTGTGCTTCGGTCGCGTGAGTGGTTTCTGTATGACGGGTTGGTCATGGGTTGCTGCGCAATGTACAGGCAGGCAGGCGCCTAGTAAAATAAAACAGCATGATTGTGGGCGCCAATCCCTTCTACGCAACCCACTCCTGTTCCGTCTGCCGCACACGTCGTCGGTAAACCTTGGTTTTTCCTGCCAGCAGATACTCTGCGGGTATCTGGGGCGGTGGCCTCCGCGCAGCGGTGCCTGGCGACGCTGCTCTCTTTTGTTGACGATCATAGAGCTTCTTGTCTTTTGCCTGCTTGTGAGGTGCAACAAATTCCTCTGACTCAGTACTCAGCTAATGGGGCATCGCCTCACGCGCTACGTCGTTCAGAATTTCGCATCTTTGGTAGCACATAGGTGGCTGATATCACCTGAAAACCGCGCTTGTGACATGCAGCCCATCAAAAATCCACCATGCGGATTCATGGAGTCATTTAGAGCAGTGCAGTGCAGTGCACTTGAGCACCAAGACAATTCCGAGAATTGCACAGCAATGTTTCCAAAAAGCAAAGCATAAACCATTAAATTGTACACGCATCCAGAGCACGCACCAACAACAAAGCTAGCTACGCACAATGCCAGGCAGGAGCGCAGCGGCAACGAAGATGCTGGGCTTGGCGGTCTCCTGCTGGCCAACGTATACGTTTGGCGTCAAGCTTGGTGAGCGGGGCCAGCAGTCACATCGGATCAGGAAGACGACCAGTATGTGGCGTGCAGTCCCACTGCATTCTAAGCTTCCGACAAGGCACCGGAGCATCTTTCTGTACGTTTTCCCTCTAGCGCGACCCCGAAGGAGGCCGTCTCGCGTAGTCGTCTTCGCGTTCCCTGTCGTGATAACGCGGGGGGCGGGCGTCCCTGTGGCACAGTACGCATGCGTCCCTCATCATAAGCACATTGTGTCACTGTGGAGCGCAAAACAAACAGAACGAGGCTCGAGGCACGTGACTGCCAAGGAGGCAACATACCATGACATGCACGCATGGACCATCATCCGCACACGTGTATCCTTAAGTGTCAGTCTTCCCGAAAGACCAACAAAGCAATCATTACAGCGAAGTGATGTGGGTTACGTCTGTCACGCCATCTACTTGTCTTCTCGCGACCCTGGGGCTCTCTTGGCCAGCCACTGCAGTGCTCTTCTACAGAGTGCCTCGCGCCTGGATGTGATACCGCTCATTTCCAGCAGACGGCTTCGACCGCGCCGCTCTTGGTCACTGCTTCTCTGCCAGCCTATTAATACGCTTTAAGCCTCTGGATTGATCAGCACCATTTCTCTCATTCCTTGGGTGGCTTTCAGAGAGGCGCCTTTGGCTTGGCATTGCACATTTCTCTTTCATTTCGCACTTGACGCGTTCGCCTCAGCACGGTGGGACTGGAGTGTCACGACAGCGTTTACTTCCGACGCCGCGTTCTAGTTAAATTAGTCATTGGTTGTTTCAGGCAGGCAATTCATTTCTCGCGCATGCCCACTAGCTCGCTCACTCTGGCGGATAGCGGTAACGGTCGCCGCGGTAGCCATCGTAAGGCCGCGACCGGCTCCTGCTGCGGCCCGCGCGGGGGCGTCTCTCGTCCTCCATGCCCTTATACTCTCGTCGCCGGTCTTCTGGCCCTCCGTAGCCGTCGTCGTAGCCGTCGCGGCCTCGCCTCCCGTAAGAGTCGCCGTTCCCTCGATAGCCTCCGTCATACATTTGGCGGTCTCGTTCATACCGCCCTTGCCGGCCATCATAGCGGCTACCTCCGTACCCGTCGCGCCCTGGGGGCCCACGGCCCATCGGGGGGCTTCCCCTGTAGTACCTGCTGCACCGCCAAGCACGCGCACTAGTTGGCAATATAAAAATTTCCAAGACCAGCAACAGTTGCAGCCAGAGTCACACATAATGGCTCAGGGAGGGGCCCAAGGCACAAAGAGGGGCGAATCTTTTTGGTGGGGGAAGTCATTGCAAGACCCAGTCCCGTCCTATCGAAGCTGTGTCCACTCAAATGTCAAGGACGCACCCGTTCTGACGCTCGGCAAGTATTTTCCTCATTGTGTGGGGCTGCAGGAGACGCGCAATTGAGACTACACAAGCAAATGCTTAGTGGCAGGCAAGGACTGCGAACTTCTGGCCTAGTCACTGATATACATGTGTAGGGATACGGAAAAGGGGTGACTCAGTGTTGGCAGGGGCAAGCAAGCAGCGCCATATAGGCCGTGTTCGCTCACCGACTTCCGCCTGTCTTGCGCAATTATCACCGAGAGTTCATTGCCATCTAGGACGTATCTGTCGAACTCGCGCACGGCATCTTGGGCATCCTTCTCGTCAAAGTATTCCACGAAACCAAAACCTCTGCGGCATGCAAAAGAACCAAAAAGCGGACACGCCAGAGACCCATAATTCACTGCAGACACTCAGAGAAGTGCAGAGACGCAAGGCAATTGACACGGCGCTGCTTTTTTGTGATGGATCTGCAGATGCTACGCTTCCATGCGCATCAAAAGTATCACTGGTGAAGAGGAGGGTCAGGAGGGTCAAGGCGTACCGGGGCTCCCTCGTAGTATGGTCAATAGGCAAATATACATCCTTAACACGCCCAATCCTCTCAAAGATTTCGCGGACTTTTTCAGGAGTTGTTTCATAGCGCAAATTGCGCAGAAGGAGAGAGCAGCCGCGATTTGCCATGGTGCAAAAAGCGGGAAAAGCGTGACGACAGATCTACCTGTTGCGACACCGGCCACCACGTCGACGACGAGCCTGCAAGTTACAGCTCTAGTTTCCTCAGCTCCCTCCACTTCTCGGGTCCTGTAAATCCCTTTATGAAAATGATTTTGGTGGGTGGTGCTTGAAGAAATCCTGGGGAGACTCCCAAGAGGGCCGGGAAAAAATCATGCCGTCCCAGTAGCCTCTACGCCACTCATACACCGTTGCGCGCGACAGAATACAACGCTTTCAAGGCGTGGCCGCCAAGTTTGAATTTAAGTGCGCATAGCTTCAAAAAAAAGTACACTTGCCCCTCTGTCCCTCGTTATTGGTGAAGACTCTCCTCAGGTCACATGCAACCTGGGGTACCCAAGGTAGTGGCTGATGGTGCAGCAACACATGCACCCGTGGATGCTGGGCCTGGCACGGACACTTTCACTGCGCTTTTAGGAACTTGCACAATATCTGATGAATATTTCTGAGGTAGGGCTAAGCCAAGAGAGCCAATGGGATGTACTGCCAGCTTCATAGTCTATGGATGGCGCCCACCGCATTGCATGCCGAGATACGGAAGAGCTAGAAACTAATGCGCTAAATAATGATCAGCAATTCATAGTTAGTTGCCCAGCGTTTACAGGTGCTGTCACGGCTTAGAAAGAGACAACAGCTGGGTGGGATGTCCGCAGCCCATACTTACGCCGACCTTGATACTTACGCCGACCTTGAATGCACGGCCCAGTTAAGTAAGTAGGCTTGGGATCTTTGGTACCCTCGAGCAACTAAAAGCGTGGCCCTATTCTGGGCAGCACGATTGTTTTTTCGCACAACATATGCAGAAAGCTCTGCAAAAGCTGGCTTGGGCCCACGGCGGTCTTGCGGGTTTGCCACTCTGGAAGGTTTTCTCATCTCAAACTTGAGGGTCGCTCGCGCTACGCGTAGCTCTTTTTTCGCGGAAGAGCCAAAGCGAAATTGCATCAGGGAATGGTTGGGGGCCTGCGCTTTGCGTATGTACTGTTGGCAGGCTTCACAGCCGTCCTGTAGAGTTCTGTTCGCCTATTTGACTTCATGGACAACTTTAGTAGCTTAGCCTATATATCTTGGTGTCTCAGATTATCACACTGACAGAAATTCTGTCGTAGAAAAACGGTAGACTAACTGTGAGCCTTTGCCTGCTGGCACACTCACCTTCTTCGTTATTACGTAGTTCTCTCTACTGGCTGAGGCGACGTTGATGATGACGCGGGACAATCCATGCACACCGTCGCCCCTTTCAGCCCCTCGCAGTTGTTCCCGCAAGGTGCAGTTTGGTGACTTGGCCGCAGCTGCTGCTCGCGTTTATGTTGGACGCTGTACGGCCTGCGGGTTAGAGCGCCTACTCTCAGCCCAGGCTGGAACGAAGAAACTGCTTGAAGGCAGTGGCCTTCTTCACAACTCCGGCAAAGAGCAGAAACCTATATGTGCCAATGCAGTGGCCTGCGAATTTGTTGCCTCCATCTCGAGATCATGCTTATCACGCATTCAGTCAGCACGAGCAGGGCAGGCTACTGCTGGCATACAGCCGGCAGAAAGCTCTCCCCAAGACGCATGCTCCGCCGTACAGGAGCTCTCTTGCAACTCTGCTTGTGTTGACAATATGGAGCCACAAGCTCCGCTGTTATCCCAGGAAAAGCCACTTGAACACAGTGCATCATCAACGAAATCGCATCAGAGCCTTGAGGAGCCTCAAGCTCCTGCTAGTCCTACCAACTGTGGAAATGCGAGTTGCAGTGTTGGTGGCCAGTCACAAGAAATAAACAATGGTGAGTTTAAAGATCTGTGGCAGCACTATTCAGATAAAGCATTCGAGTCATCTCATAGTTTGCTTAGAGGTCACGAATATGTACGAAGTGTTATAGTTGAAGACCAGGAACATGTTATAGGTATACACATTCCGCACTTCAAGACAAATCAGCGCTCAGGGCAATTAGTCAGCACTGGCAGAATGGATCTAGTGAGGGCATCATGCCTCGTGCCCTTGGAAGCATCACAATCTTGCATGCCACAGTCCGGCACCAGCAGGCGGCCCACGCCCAATTCAATTGGTTTGGCAAGACTTGTGGCTGCAAATACAGACGAAACAAGGGACCTGCCACCAACTGAGGAGCTCGCGGGTTCGCGGGCGGGCGCGATACGTGATGAGAAAGAAGAGTGGATAAAAAGTTACATGCAACTTTCTGAGAAGTACGTAGTCTGTACTGATAAAATAAGGAGTCCATAATATTCATAGAGTTCTGCTAAGGAATGGTAAATATTGAGCATCAAAATTACTTCTCGCGAATGCTTGTGCAGGCACAGAGACTTGTTCTACGAGCTAATTTCCCTACTGTCAGATGCCAAACTACCGCGCTGGCAAGTTAGTCTTGAGAGTTTTAACGCTTGCTTGCTCTATTCATTGCTTCCACCTGCACCTGTTCAGAGTGCATCCATGCAGCAGCATTATAGCTCAGGCATTCCGTCAACTGCTGTGATGGTGGCTGCTCAGCGTGACGCTCTCGGATTGGCTATCATTTCCTTCCGGCGCGAGTACGAAAAGGTAGGAAGGAAAGCCTCTTTGTGGAGTCATGACACATCTCCAGAAGATAAATTTCCTAACTTCCAAGGTCTTCCAGGTTCTTTTGCTCTTTCTTAGGCACTGCATGAGTTGGAAGGCGAAATTGAAAGCGTCCGTTCGTCTGTCAATCTGACGAGTACGTTAAGCATCTTTTTTAGGAGTGATGCAACGCAAACCAAGGCTTTGGGTTTTTGCACTGAGAGCTATTCTAAAGATTTTTTGGTGGTTTTGGCGCCGTTGGCCCATCATAAACAATGCAACATGGAGTTCGTGCCTCGAGCATTGATGTATGCTTTTCCAGAGGTGCAGTCATGCGCCAACCCAGGCGGAAATAAACTTGGCATCCTCTGCAATGCTGGGCTGATATCGCACCTGAAGGAGGCTTGGAAAGGCAAAATTCTTCACCTTGAGGACATGCAAGTAGGCATACAATGGCTGCATTTGCACAGAAAAGGTTTGCCGTTTAGAGTAGGTGTCTAGAGATTCTCCCATTTAGCTCGAAGAAATGTCTGTGCCTTCAGAACCAAATAGCGGCATCTCTCTTCAGCAATCCATATGCCACGTCGAAAACATTAAAAGATGCGTTGAAGAGCGAGCGAATCGTCTAAAATGAACCAGCATGTTGGAGCACGGAATCGGCCTCTCAGCAGTGAGTATCGCAGACTCAGAATGACTGTGGCTGGTGCCTCCATTGCAAGGGAAGTTTACTTCTCTTTGATCTAAAGGGATTCATGATGATCTCAAGGGCTCAAAGGCAAGCCTTCTCTCTAGGAGAAGCCAACGCTGTCATTCAGTAGAAACAGGCCTCTCACTGCTGCGGAATCATCGCAGCACGCGTGACAGTGCCAACTCAAGAATACGCAGGCAGATAGCAGCAAGAATAGAAAATGCCCGTTGAAAGGAAAACTGGAAAACGGTCATTGCTTGCAACTGCCTGCTATAATCGAAAATCCTTTAGCAGTGGTGTTTCCACTGTCCCATGAAATGAAAGATACAGAGAACAGAACCAAAAGTCAAGCTCCATATCGCTAACATTTTTGGCAGCTGAATCGAACAAAACAGAGAGCAGCTTGCGACATCGGGCTTAGGGAAACCAGCTCGTAGACTGTCTGCTGACGGCGGCGCACATTTCGAAATGTTAACTTGTAGGGTACGGTGTAACTCCTACCTTTTAAAGTGTTCACTGAACGTCGAGCAAATTCATTAATGCTCTATGGGCTGTGGACACAGAAACTTCCAGCGACGTTAAATTCACGTTGGGGTAGCATCCTGTCACTTGCCCCTACTTTTATATTTAGATAGCGACACAAAATGGCTGATCACTCTTCAAGGGTGTGCCACAAAGAATCAGGATTATACGGGTTTTCTTGGCTTTCTGGTGCTCCAGTAGTAGCTGATGCTTATAAGGGCTACTGCAAGGTGGTCGTTGCCAACTTGTATTCTCTTAGCTTTGCAACATAGCTGGAGCGCGCTGTCACGTAGAAAGTAACCTGGATTTTTGGCTCCTTCAAACCTCTTAAACCCGTGCTCTAGGCCATGCGCGCAGGAGCGAGCGATTGATATATATGCCCTAAGTGTATACTTGTCAACAAAACATCAACTACGTGCTATGAGCGCCAAATCAATTTCCGTTGAATGGCATATGGCTGGGAAAGATAAATTACTCTCCAGATAAATTATTCTCCGGTAAATGCACGCAGGTAAAATGGTTGACAGTACTGCCGAGAAAAACCGGAAGTAGGTGCAGAATGGCTAATTCGTTCGGCCAGAAAAGTGTAGCAACTGACGCAATTCTGCTTCGACAAACTCGGGTATACTGCCTCGCTGTTCACCTACATCTTGTTGCTGCAGTTGCCGGAGAGCAGCATCCGCCGCAACGGCGAATGCATCCCACAGAGCTTTTTGGCGGGCTCCTGTCAACAGGATGTCCCTCCCTAGACGACAAAGTTGCTCAGCAGTCGCCGCTCCGGCTGCTGCAGAGAAGGCGGCCAATACGTACTCTGCACTTATTTGCTGGCCCAGTCGGTCTAAGCCAACAAAGCCCTGAGCACACACGTGTTGACACTGACCCACTGCGTTCACAGTAACACTTCACGTGACGGACCTCTACAAGAGAAGACAGCACATTGCAGCCAGCTCGGCAGCAACGGCAGCAGCTGCAGCAGTAGACTGACAAGCGCGAGGTCGAAGGGACTGCAGGGCAGCCGAGATGAAATCGCGCGGTAAAGATGGTCTTTCAAAAGATGCAACACTATGTCTCTATCTCTTCTTAGCAACTCCATGGCATCTTCTGTGCTGTTCCATGCAGAGAAGCCAGCTGCTGCTTGGTGACTTATTTTATCCGGAAGCGGCAGTTTTAGGGCGTCCGAAATGGCTGCTAAGGGCCAAAGCAATGCAATACTTTCCCCGAAGCGTCTCTCCTCGACCAGTTGGCGACTTTTCTGCATTTTCCTCAGCTGCTTCTTTGTCACTGTTAGCAGCTCCTGTGCTGTTACTGCGCTAAGGCCCAAAGGCTCTGCTGTGGCCCCCAACAGCAGCAGCAGCCGGCGCAGCTGACTGAAGGTCATAACGGCCCACTGGGGCTGCACGCAGTTCAACAACTCCTGCAGCAGTGCTTGAGCTGCAGTTTCCACGGAGCGGTCAGTCAGCAAGTTTGCTTCTTTCATGGCAAGGAAAACTGTCGCAGCATCTGAGAAATGGACTCGAAAGTCCGCTTCATCGGCTTCCGACAAAGCCTCTTCTTGGGGAACTTGCTTCTCCTCCAGCAGCAGGGGAGCAGCGCCTCCTCGCGCGGCAGCTCGGAATGCCTTACCTAGTTTTCGGGCCACTGCAGTGGCTACTGGCGGCGTCAGTTCGCCCGCCCTTGAGAAAGCTGCAACTAGCAGGGAAGCAGTGGACAGCGAAAGCTGCCCCTTCTCCAGCAACTTTAGCACTTGCTCTCGCTGTAACGCCCAGAAGGCGCTGCCACGTGGTGTAGCTAGGCCTTGTGCTGCCTGCAGCAGTCTCGCACGCAGCCACGCCATGCCTCGGTCTGCTTCTGGAGGAAGTCACACATAACTTACGGGTTCCCAGTAAGGTTTGCTGGTCTACCATGAGGCTTAGTGCTCCCCTACCGCCAGGACTCGCTGTACAACTGTCAGCGTATCATCAGCGCCTGCATCTTCCGTGGAATTCCTATCACTCGGGACAAGTGGCTCCTGCTGCCGCGTCCTACGCATACGAGCGAAACTGCGACAAGCTGTTGTAGCAGCCACGTCTCCACGGCTATGCATCTGACACAGAGGGCTCCCCATAGGCGTCAAGCCACGAAGCGGCAAGACCACCGAAGAGGTCCCAAACTTCATTTTCGACAAGCCACATATTAACGACCCAGTTGCGAATCTCTTTGTAAACGCAGTTGGTATCTCTGTTAAGGAACGTGAACAGCCCCCGGCGGCTGCTGATGCCGGCGGCAGTAACGCCATTGAAGCGCAGCAGCTATGGCATCACCCCACTTAATAAATGACACATATCACGGTGATGCCGGCTGTAACTTGTGTAGTTGTTGCCTGTGCCCCCACGCAGACGATGCCAGGGCTCACGTAGCGTCGATTGATGGATGGGAGACTTTTCGCCAGCGGCATCATTCAGGATAGAACTCTTCCTTGCCAGTGAGACATCCATAGATTCTTAGAGCCGATTTAAACAAATAAGTTGGTGATCATGATTGTAGAGCTTCGAGGTGTGGGGCGAAAGGCTCTTGAATGTACAAGACACAGCTTATTGGGACCCCGCTCAGGGCTACTGGTTCTGATCACATGCAGAGATGTACACACATAGTCTTGAATTATTCAAATGAAATATATTAAGGTATAAAAAATTTCTGGTAGGTAAAGCTTACTAGTGCGTATTGTGTGTGTACGCTCCAGAACGCTGTTCCATGTGCGTAACAGGCACGTGTGGCATCCTCTGCGATCAGTTTGCTGGTTCCTGTTGGTAGGGCAGCTTTACTGCTTATTTCTTACGTTCACGCAGTTTAACTATCTTTGGGCGTTTTACCTCACTACTCGGAAAAGTTGTGCTCATCATGTGCTGCGGAAGCGCTTCCGTGTAGAAGCCCTTACCGGGCTTTGCGCCAACGTCCATGAACCGAGCGCACCTGACGGATTCTTGGGAAAAACCTTAAATCATCCCTATGCACATCCTGACTGCCTGGTTGTTGGCTGTGTCGTATTGTAGATCCTCTCCTAAAAGGCAGTGCTTGGTGATTTATAGCTTATTTTTCACAAAGTTGTCCTCATATGAGCTTCCTCTGCAGCCTCTTCTTGCTAAGACCTACTCAAGCTTGGGTCCTGATTCAAAAGTGCGTTATTTTTGGTAGAGACTAGCCAATAAAGGGCCCTAGACGGTTCCCCTACTTATGCAACACACCGAATAAGCAGCACACTGACGCAGGTGCCCCGTATCCCAGGAGTACAAGTACGTTGAAGCACACTCCTACATAAAATGCTTGGAAAAAAAATGAGGTGTACCTGTGACCGCTCTCGAGTGTAATTGAAACTACTGCCACTTCGCTACATTTACACCGTTATTGTTGGCCGTCGTTCTGCCCTGAGGACATTAGAGCCGCCTGCGCTATCTCCAGAGCAGTGCATACATTCTGATGCACAGGTAATTGTGGTAAAGGATAGAAAAGCAACTGTAAATGTATTTTTTTTAAACCGGCAGCTGTGCAGAGAACGGTTTGAAGTGAGGCGTCTGCCCGCCCATGGAGTTAAGGTCAAGATTACGCAAGCAGCGAACAGTATTCGAATCTGCAGGCCACATCTCAGGTGGTAATGCTTGCCAGTAGTGAATATGGTTAAGAAAGCCCAGAGCCAAAATCGCTAGTCTCCCTGTATTTGTGCAGGTCTTGTGCAGTGGGGGGATGGACAGTCATTTTCGCCGCATTCAGGTTTCATATGGCTGGGCAACATCTAAGTGCCATAGTGTGCCTTTGGTCACTTCATCATGTCCATATTCAGAAAAGCTATAAATTGTACAAGACTGTAACGGTTCCTGATACAGAGTATTGCGAGTTCATTTCCGGTGGTTTCTTGCACAAGTTGATTCCGGCTGTGGTTAAAAATCCCATTCAGTTTGCTTCATGCTATCTTTTTTCCAGCCCTTTATGTAGCGTCCTGTTAAGGCCTAACTGACGTAGAGAACCTACCCAGCGAACACTCTACAAGCGAGCATAGCCTAGTATTCTTTACTCTTATCCTTCCAAGCCGCGGACACTCTTAGCAGCATTATATTTTCTCGTCTACTTATGCATACTGGTGAGAGAAAAAGTAGCGCTGTTGCTAAATTGTTCAGCTAGACACTAGGGCTGCTTTTTCCAATCCGATAGCCCTCACAAATACTTTTAACAAGTAAATCACCACAAGCATTAAACGTATGTTTTGCCCATAGCTTATCCTTTGGTTAGACGTTAATGCATTTCCTTCTGTAAAGTGAAATATTCAGGACTGCTACTTCTTCAAGCTTCCTTCGAGGCTGGTGCTGACCAGTACCTAACTGCGAAGCCCCTCAATACCTCGCTCACTAAGGCGTGGTGGGTTATGTTGCGCCATGGAATATAACACTTGGTAGAGCTAGTGCCCCGCTAGTGGGGACAAAGCCAGGCACCAGTTAAACTAAAACTATTGATATTTAGATGTGCAAGGAGATAAAGCAACAGGGGTGCTCTTCCGCAAATATCGGCGGATCAAGTCTTGCATCCCCTATGCTCACAGCATTCCCTCGAACTGTTCAGTCGCACAGCAATCTCATATGGGTAAAGTGCTCTACTCCTGGCAAGTTCTAATAGTACAATGCTGTTCTCTAACCCACCTGAGCAAGGGCGAGTGCCTAAAAAATCGTAGTCCAGGACACTGGCCCCAACATGCATTATTCGATTTAAAAAGTACATAATACTGCGCAAGGGCATTTGCGTGACATGAGGATACCTTTGGCTCACTAGGCTTTACGACTTCCCCAACAACAGATCAAACGAAAGTTCGACACATGGATAGACATGGCCAGTTCATGGGACTATACAACAATGAAGTACTTAAGAATGTCATCAGCGCATGGTCCTATTGACTCGCTTGGACCACCTTTATTAAACTTGAGAACTTTATTATGTCTTCATGGGTCCAGTTTAATGGCGTACTACTGTGGAAACGATGTTCGATGAGCACTTACTCTCCAAGGGATTCGCACCCGCGACCATGGAGTAACCCTTTCGATCCTTCAAATTGTCTAAATCCCTATGCCATATGCAAACCATCCGCAAAATTAAATTTAATTTCAGTTTGTCGTCATCGAAGCGAGCAGAGGGTCTGAGATTGAAGCAGAGCGCCTCCGTCGATTGCACTAACCATGGAGACCATTAACGTGCAGCCTGTTCTAAGTGTCAATGAGGCGGCACGCGTGGAGCTAATAAAATTAATGGAAATCTGTGTTAAAGAAATTCTATATACATTCACAACTTCATAGTGACGTTTTATTCCTTCGCAACCTCTTTGCGCTTCGCGTGCCGCTTTCCGTGTCGCTCACCCGCCTGGCAAAATGCGAGCGAGATCGCACCACCACCATGCTGCCTCTACCGGTGAGCGAACGCCCATTGGTGACTTCCGCGGAGCATCATATTTTAAAAGTGCAACTTTGCGCGACTATACTTTATTTTTGAACTATACAGGTCGACACTTTTTACATTTTTGAGGAGCGTCACTTTGTCCAATCTAAGTGAAAATGGACCAGCCACAAGGAAGCCTCAGGGGCGCACAGGCGGGTTCCTCTAGTGATGAAGGAACCTCGAGAGTCGAGAAGCCCGTACAGGCAGGCAGCGAGCAATTATCTGAGAACGGGAATCCAAGAGAAGAACAGGTTCATGAGGAAGCTCCTGAGCCACCAAGGCTACCAGATGAGCCTTGCTTCGCGAGGCCCAAACCCCATGGATTCGGTGTCAAGCAGCTTATTACAAGCTTCGGCGCCGCGATCTCAGCCTTGGGGTTGATGGTACAAGGATTGGGCAGTGCTGGGGGCAAAGGGTTGAGCCAACCAAGCGCCCCGATACTTCCCTCGGCGCCGAGCCCATTGGACCAGCAGCACGCCGGTGTTGAGCCAGTGCCAGGTTTGACTGAGCAGGAGGCCCAGGGGAAGCCCCATCTTCTCGAGCCCGTGCCAGATCCTGCTGATCCAGACGACATTTCAGAAGACCCTATGATGCCGGGAATGTAGAGGGAGAACGCTGAGGCCCTCCGTGGCCTGTCTTTGTTGTGAGAGATCAAAGTATAGGCACCCACAGCGTGCCATGCCTGAAGTGGATGTAAATCCTGGGCGCCGTATTCAATATTTGTTTGCTAGTCGCGCGCCCGCGATGACAATATCTGGCCCTTCGTGTGAGTTCAACTTGGGGGGTCCAGGACGCCGAATCTACTGGCCGAGCACGAGCTCGCCGTTTATCAAACAGTGATTAGCTATTTTTTCCAACCGGTCTGTCTGTCTGTCTTGGTCTGCGTGTTCTTTAGTACGGGACTGCTCCATGTAGGTTACTTTGCAGGATACACATCAAGTTAAGTTAGGCACATGTTGTTTAGAGAAAGCGGAAGTCAGGTGAACTAGCTTCAGAGGGTGCACCTCTGCCAGCCAGGGAACAAAAGATCAGATAGATTATGACTGCGTAGCTGACAACCCGAGGCCAAGAACAGTTAGTTTTGTGGCTGCGACGGCGAAGCGTCAGGAGGGGGTACGACGTGCATGAGGAACCCGAACTTGTAGGTGCCCCTCCAATAGTCTATCAACCCACTAACGCCAAATCCGTTGTAGTCTTGTGCAAAAACAGATATTCGCCCGCAACTGTCTATGAGCCCCTGTACTCGAGCCTGGCGGAAGAGGTACTCCCAACCCTGCACACAATCGCATCACAAGACCCAACAAAGTCTACCCACAACAACAACAAAGTCTACCCACAAGTCTACACAGTCAACGTTCTCTTGTGGATGAATGCGAGCGGAAGTGTACCACTCTCAACGCCGACTCAGTTTCTGGGTGGCTATATTCGAACTCCGACGCCATGGAGAGCCTGTCCGTAACCTGAAAGCAAGCCTCAGTATAGTCATCGCGCAATGTAGGAGCTGCGCGTTCTTGTAAAAAAATAGCCCAGTCAAATGGGTCTTATTGGCTGGGTGCACTAGCTTTTAAATAACAAAATTACATTCCTACAGCTGTGGAGAAGTCCAGCCATGGATTATTCATTCAGGAAGAAAATATTAATACGAGGATGCTCTGAACGTCAATATCGGCTGGGTTTCGTTCAAAATGCACTCATCCGTCGTAGCCGTACCTTTCTGGCATACTGCACTTTGCAGGTGTGCGTAAGCTTTGTAAGACCCGCAGGAGACTTGAAATCTGGCTGTTGACTCAGTTGACCTAAAAATATTGCATGGGAACAACACAGTAAAGTCATGAATAGACAGAACCGACAGAGATCCAAGCCGTATCAGTCAAACCCTCACTCACAATGCTACCCAGTTTTCAACCATGTTGAAGTCCAGCTAGTAGAGTAGGCACAACGCAACTTACATGAGACAACCGACTGTTTGTCAAGGTTGTAACGGCCCCCCACAGCCAACATCGAGGCACCATTGGCACCCTGAGAGGCAAAGCAAAACAGGGATAGTTTTAGATGAGGCACAAGAAAGCCTGGAACTGCACCAGGCTCCCGCGCGGAAAGACATTGCATGCTCTTCAGACATGAAGACTAAAACCCTTAACTTAAGAGTTATTTGCAGTGGTCAACTTGCCACGTAAGTTATTTCGCAGCCGGCCTGCAGCCTTGGAGTCAGTACTTGAGAAAACATTCCGTCCAAAATCCAACAGGCTGCATTGGCACACACACTGTAAGCTTCCCCGTATTCCTCACGAACTGCGCGACATTTTGCAAAGTCTGTTATCTTAGTTGTAAAGAAAAGAAGGCTGCAGCTACCAAGTGACTGCTGAAGGTGATTTTCGTATTATGAGCTCTTCGCTTACACTGCCAGGCGACCTTCAAAGACGAGGCCCAGTCCCGGCCTGTATTATCGAGGGAGATTTCATAAAAATTCCGTTGCTCGTCTTTGAGAGACGAGTTGAAGTTCAATTTGAGGTCTGCACTCTGGCAGAGAGTCTTTATAACTCTGAACAGTTAAAAGCCACGATTCACATGTGCCGAACACATGAAATTTAATGCCCACTACGGTGCATTGGTGACCAAAATATGAAACTCTGGCCTTAAATCATTATGAATGGCATAGGAATAGATCATTTATCGGCACGATTCTGAGTACTACTCTATGTATATTTGGCACGGTATTGGCTACGGCTGGCTCACAAATAAAGTCTGCCTGTGCCTGAAACGGGACAAGAACACCATATTTTACTTCTGCGCCACCTCACCTGCCTTGAAGCGATCCATCTGTGCCAAGCTTTGCCATTGCAAAAAAATGCGGCGGCGGTGGCTGGGCGTTCTCGCCCTGGCTTGGATCTGGGGGGGGCGAGATTGCCACCGTTGGGCCAAACTGATACGAGTACCCACACTCACGTAGCTGGGTCCCAAGGCAGAAGCTGTGGCACGTTTGGAGGTACTTATTTACCTGGATCACCAAGGAACAGTGACACATTCGCCAGCCCTTCCCAGTCTTTCGTGCAACACCAGTGGAAACTTTTCGAAGAGCTGCGGGGAAAGCAGCTAAAGTCGACTGCTTACCTGTTTTGCACCTTCCAAACGGAATCCATCAAAAGTGTCTTGACCGGAGATGTTCATCCATTCTCGAGAAAAATGCTCAAAGGGTATCGGCTGCGTGAGTCTGCGGCAATGGACCGATGCACAAGCAGCAATGCACTGTGCTATGAATGCCAGCACATATCCAGCAATATGTGTCAGTGCGTTTTATTTTCATGAATTCAAAGTGGAGATACTTGCGCCCAGCAGGAGGGACGCTCGTTGAAGTACGCAGTGCGAGTACGCAGTATGCGGTCGCTGTGCTGGGCTCTAGCAGAAAGCCAGAGGGAAAAAGGTGTACACTGACTGCGGCTTCTTTGGAGGCTCTGGTGTCTGCTCATTTTCTCTTGCCAGAGCATCTAAACGAGCCTTTTCTTTTCTGTCCACAGCGGCCGGAGCGTCGCTGGAAGCTGGTTGCGACTCCTTCGAGCCGCCAAAGAAGCCCAGGCCTGGAACACCCAAGAATCCGGTGCTCTTTTCTGAACAGCGGGCAACTGCAGGCGAATCATCCTTCCCTACTGAGACCGATGACGCACATCTTGAACGACCAGCCCGGACTGACTCTCCCCGTCGCTGGCGGCACCCGTCGGCAGGCTGGTCGCCGCGCCGCAAGAAATCAAAGAAGGGCATTGTCGGAAGAAGAGAGAGAGACGGGTTATATATTCTGCCTATTACTCGTCTTTCTCTAATCTTACGAGCCGCGTCAGCCCCGTTACTCGTGGGGCGGTCGATGGGGCCCAGCATGCATGCATCGAAATACACACTCGGCCGTGCTTGTCAGCGGACAAAGGCGTTTCTTGTATCTTTCTTAAGCACGCTAGACGGTCTAAAGCCTGTAACAATGCCACATTGGGACGCATAGATGCAATGAGCGGATCAGGGCCCCATGACAGTTCCATGAGTGCGGGCATGGCGGAAGCGTTGAACTCCGTTAAGTGACCAGTAGAGCATTTAGCGTTTTTGAACGATATCTAAGAAGAGCATGGTATTTTGTTTTTCCTCCACATGAGAACTGTGTTCGTGCCTCCCGAAGGCGCCTGGAGAGAGGGGTCTTCTCACAGTTCCTTTGGAGACTCTGAGCTTCTCTTTCTAGTTTTACGCTAGTGCTTTTTCCTTCCTAAAGCTTCCCAATCGACCTTTTATCTTTTGCGTAAACTCAGAGAGCATCTCTTACTTCATTGCTCCCTGGTACGCATTCGTATCGGTGGTAAAACGCCACCGTAGACTAGGTCTCTTCCCTCATTTCCCTTTTGCTCGCACATGTTCAAGTACGCTATAGGCTTTGTAATTTTCAGGACATTTTCACAGCATGACGTAGTCTGGTAGAATATGCCGATAAACATTAGGAGTAGGGCAGCAAAAGAGCAGGAAATTTTCTTTTTGGAAGGGCCCTCAGAAAACGGTATAGAGCAGGCCAGGAGAGCTGTTTGAAGTGCCATAATGATTTTGCATTCCTACCAGAGCTCCCTTAAGAGGAGCTGGAAGCTGCGGTTGAAGTAAAATTGACCACTTCTTCCAAAGAAAACGCAGCGGACACATGCTCCATAAAGTTGGTATTGGCCCTCAGATTAGACTATTTTCAGCGCAGAATATCCTATTGTTGTCACTCATCATTGCTGCAGCTCAGTTCCCACATATTGTACTCCGGAGCACCCTTCTGCGCAAAGTCTCAGAAGGCGACTGGGACTCTCTTTGAAGATAGCGAGACAGAGTGACGCTTTAGTCGTCCCTCCGTTGTCATATGAATGTCTTTAAAAATGTAAATTTGCCTGCGAATGGCTGAATTTAGTAAAATAGAGGCTTTCGGATTTTCGGCCAAAGCACGAGCACTGAAGGCCGGCGGCGATCCAACACACATGCCGCTCACTATCCCGAAGTAACTGACCATTCCGAGCTTTTTGCTGCGTGTTTTGTCCTGATCCGTTTGCTCATAGCATCATGACCTAGCCGCAAGCCAGCTGTTATTTTCACATCTAAAACCATCAGTTTGTGGACGGTTTCTTCCTACCATCAAGTGCCAGCGTACGGGGATTTGCCAATCGGCGCACCTCGGCACACTTGCTCCGCTGGTATACACCAAGCGGCTAACTGGTGTCGCCACTCTTCAAACTCATTTTCTCGTATCCTCCGCAGACTAGTCGGCATGTGCCGAGGTAGGTAGCCGCTGGCTTTCGTGTGCATGCCTCTGCAGGTTCCCCGTTATTTGATTCCATGCCAGTTTTCTTCTGCCTAGTCGGCTTGATTTTGGAAAATTCATGGAGCCGCTGACTCCACTAACGCTGTTTACACTATCATACACTCCCCTGTTTCTGGCGTGCGGTTGTGGACGGCACACCAGACGCTCCTCGAAGTGGAACGAATCCTTCCGAAATCATCGTAGAACGAACTACATTACACAGAGATCACAGAAACTAGGCCTTCCACTCACTGGCCTCCGGGAAGCTTCAGCGTACGCGGCTTTGCAGCTTCGGGTGGTGCTGCTCGGGCGCTGGAATATCAGCCAGCGCGATGCCTATTGTCGCACTCAGCTGTTTTTAGGTTCATTTGTGTCTCAAAGGTACGATTTATACTTTAAGCGGCACATAATCTGCAACTGTTTATGTTTTAGGAGTGCCGCGTGCAGCAGTAACGGCAAGCGGCCTCAATCTTATGGCTTAGTATACAAACTACTCTTCAGGCTTCTGTGGGTTTGCACTCAGTCCTGAGCAACGGGAACTCCACCGCGAGACACAGTCCTCAAGTCAAGCTGTACTTCTTTTGTCTTTCTATTGAACTACAGATATTTCCTGTGTAGGATACCTAGGTGCCTGGTCACACTTAACGTAGCGAAGTATGGAGCATCAAGACCCTAGGGCAGATTTCGTGGGTAGAGCTCTGTCGAGCCTATTTAGGATAAGGGCAATCTAAACCAGGGGAGCCCACGCTAAATCTTGGTAGCTGCAAAACCTAAATTTCTCTTTTGGACCCAAGAAAAGCTGCGACAATATTATTTATCTGATATAGGCGTAGCAGGAGTGAGGCCGCTCACCGGCTGTGCTGCATGTGCCACTCCTAAAACATAAGTAGTTGCAAATTGTATTCCGTTCAAAGTGTGAAGTGTAGCTTTGAGACACAAAAGTAAACGAAAAGCAACTGAGAGCAAGAGTAGGCGTCGCGGCAGGAGAAGGGCGAGCCCAATAAACCACCTTTGGAACCACCCCAGCGAGTTAATATGGCCTTTTTTGTTTAGCTTTTTTCCAGACAATGTCAGATTTGTCGATGGGTGATAAAAGTTGCCGTAGGACCAAATAAGAACTGGAAAGTTTTCTTTAGGATGAATAAGGTGATACCTTCTATGTAGAAAGGAGAACAGCACCATGCTTGAATATTAAATGGCATACATCTGCTATACTTTCGCTCAGGCCATTGAAAAACTAAAGATGTTAGAGCACCCCATTTTTGTTGTAAACCGGTCCGTTGCTGCTATGGCCGCTGCATATGGTCTAGCTTCAGTTTCCTGCCACTGGCCATTGCCTACGCCACTTTGATTCTCCAAAAAGATCAATCTAAAAACATATACGCTTCATCGCTATCTATCTACTGGCCTTTGGCTCCCCATATAGCCTATAATCATGTCGTTGTATTGCAAGTGCAAAACTCAAACTAGAAGTTCCTGCTGTCGAGCAGTATCTCGGGGAGCCCAACTCCGCGTACAAGATGCTTCCGACGAAATTTTAGGAGCGAGTGGGACAAATTCTACACAGAAAGACAATAAATACAAAGTTTTTAATTTGATACCTCACTTGAAAGCGCCGCGCTCTTAAATGAACGCAGCATCTATGCCAACAAGGCCGTTTATTAGGGCAGGCTGTTGCAAGCCACTCTAAGGACTACCGGCTACAGCTGTTAATAAATCAGCCAGTTCGGATCAAAATAAGTACTCGGCTTCAAAAAAGGCACTATGAAAAAGAGAAGCCCTATCAAGTCATTGTTCGGCTACCTCAGTACTGCACCGAACAGACGCACTGCCACTGCACCCAATAATGGCTTCATCGAGACTTTGCGCAGACACGCTCCCGAGAGTTTCTGATATCAGAATTGATCAATTGAAGGCATACTGGAGCAAAGGTGGGTAGTATCAGGTTACAACTCGCAAAAAACATGAAAGGCTACCGTTCTGCTGTGGCCCGTAGGCCGGCTCGTGCAGCTTTTCCGAGTGTCCAACTTTCCAGTCGGGCCGATTTGAATAAAAGAATGAGTAGTATTTGAAAGTATTACAGCAGTAGGTTTTATAAAAGATTCAGTGTAACGGAAAGTGCCGCATCCAGATAGCGGTTGGTGCCACCAGACAGCCAGGCTGAAGGTACCGCGGGGCTGTATGCAGGAAGCACCCGCACCGGGGTGAGCTGGGTGGTTCAGGTGTCGCTTCTTTGCGATTTGATGCGAAAGGCATGTGATCTTCAAATACATGAAATAATCAGACAGTTGTTGTGGAGCAGAGACGAGCAAGTCTCTCGTAAAGCAGCCCACCGGGCGCTCTGTGCACTGTAGCAGGCTTCTGCGCTTGCGTGTGGCGTGGCAGCACTTAGTGTGCAGGTGTCGGAGGGCATTCTTTAGGAGCCGTTGCAGAGAGTTTGGGTTGCTTACACGGTTTCTAGGCATAACATAAACATAGTTAAGCACAAGATTTGTTGAACAGATGAGGGATGGATTCAGAGGCCGGGGCAGGGGCCGCGGTGGCGGAGGCTGGCGGGGCAGCCAGCGCGCAACAATTGCCGAATCGCATGAACAGCAGTGGAAAAGTGGCCTTGGGTTAGTCCCCGGGCAAGAGTCGCGTCACTTTAACCCGCGAGAGGCCCGCGCAAGGCCCGAGAGAGAGGCAGAGCCGCCGCACGGGTCCGTGCCTGTGCATTCCACAGCGCCGCACAGGCGCCGCCACCAAGCCCAGGGCCTCCGTAAGGAACGCGCAGCCCCGTACGAGGCCCGGGCTGGCCTGCTGCCTCACGGGGCGCCCCCGGGGGCCCCCAGAGGGCCGCCGCTGCCGCTGGGGGGGAGGGGGGGGGCTGTGGAGGCGGTGGAGGGGCCGCTGGCTTGCGCAGCGCCGCTGCAGGGCTGC